AGTACCCCCCCCCCCCCCATTGCACAAATTTTTGTGCATCAGGCCTCTAGTATTGTTATAATTGTTCTATATTATTAGTTATTGTTGTTAGTCTCTTAGTGTGGCTAATTTATAAATTAAACTTTATCATAGGTATGTATATGTAGGAAAATAGTATACAGGGGTGGGGGAAAGTAGGTTTACAGTTCAGGTGGAATAAGACATTATCTAAAAGATAAATCATAAGTGAGGATGTGAAATAATAATAGTAGGAAGGAGACAAATAATACACTAATACATAAATAATACAAGAATTAACTGTTTCGCGTACTCACAACTGTAAACCTACTTTCGCCAACCCCTGTATATAGAGTTTGGTACTATCTGTGGTTTCAGTCATCCACTGGGTGTCTTGGAATGTATCCCTTGGGATAACGGGGGACTACTGTAAAGAGTTTTAAGCCAGGAAGTGACCTGTAAATGTAGGGTTTAAAAAGGTGACTCTGGCTGTTGGCAGGACATAGGGGGCAGAGTGGAGAGAGGAATACACATTTCATGTTGTACTGTAAAGTTGGAATGTAGTGGACCAGTACTAGGTGAGAGGTGATGTTGCTAAGACTAGAGTGGTGGTAAAGCGTTGGTAGCAGACCAGTTGAAGGGAAATGGCTATAAGACACATTGAGGAAGTAGGATACAATAGACAGAATCTATTGATAAATGGATTGAGTGGGTGAAGTAATGAATGAGTGACTCTTGATTTTGTTTATTTTTTAACAGCTTTATTGAGATATTCACATGTAATAAAATTTACCCTCTTGAAGTATACATTTGAGTAATTTTTACTATATTCACAGGGTTATGCAAACATTATCACTGTCTCATTCAGAACATTTCATCACCACTTTTGATCTGAACTTAATTTTGTTAGGTCTCTGTTACCCAAGTTGAATATGGGATGTAGCATTTATTGAAATGGGCACAAAAGGTGTGTGAATTCAGATTTTAGGCATGTTAAGAGATGGTAATACTAAATCAGTAATACAACTATCAAGATATGAGAATGGTTGCTATAACACAGGGAGAGTGTGTTGTTTAGGGTAAGAGAAGGAACTCTTGACATTGGGAGAGTGGCTAGAACAAGAGAGCCAACAAAGGAAACTGAGTAATGGCTGGCCTTTGAGATTGTAGGAAGTACAGGAGAGTATATGGAATTATGGAAACATACCAAAAGAAGAAATCATTTAGAGAAGAAGGAAACAGTTTGCACTTTCAAATGTTGCTGAGAGGTCTGATAAAATGAGGATAGAAAGGTTTCTTTTTATAAGTGACAAATAGGTCACTTATTGGCCAGAGTGAGCGAGGAATGCTGGGGCTAAAAGGTTAAGGGACCTTTCAAAGCATACTCTATGAATGAAAAGCAATGTGATGAGAACAACAAAGAAAGAATGAATTTATCAAAGAAATAAAGTTACTAAATTTGGTGGTAACTACAAGTTTGCCTATTCTGGACATTTCATACAAGTGACCTTTTGTAACTGGCTTCTTTCATTTAGCATACTGTTTCGAAGGTTCGTCCATGTTATAGCATATAGAAGTATTTCATTTCTTTTAATTGTTCATCATTGGTTATTTTAACAAGGGTTATTTTGTTGTGCTGATGGTATCAAACCATATTTGAGTCGTTTGGAGAGTAAATGGAAGGTAAAAACATTTACTCTATGCTTTTCTACTCTTTGGCAGAAGGGCAGCATAAGGTTAATGAAGGTCTTTTTGTTTATGTTGAGGGATGCTAAAGCACATTTTTGGGCTTGTGGATCCCAAGGATTAGGAGAATTTTTGTAGCAGGGAAAATGTTAAATATGAAAGCAGTTTAGTGAGTTGAGTGGAATCCAGAATACATCTGGTATAATTAGCCTTTGATAGGAAGGAGAACAGTTCCTTACTTACAACTGCACAGAGAAGATGGTTTTAGACACTAGACTAGCAGGTTTATAGATTGGGAGACAGCAGGATGGGAAGGGGTTCCTATTTCAGTGCTATATTTCCTCAATGAAGTATGAGAGATAGTTATTCATGAGGATGGAAGGTTGGGAACTGTGAGAATTGTGGAAGTGATAAGAGACACCTGTGTAAAGTGGGGGTTTATTAGAGAAACAGGGTTGTAGGACAAATGAGGCACAGTGTTATTAGCCATTAGGTCCATCAAGTGATGAATGAATAAAACGTAGTGTGTCCATACAATGGAATATTACTCGACAATTAAAAGAAATGAAATACTTATATATGCTATAACATGGATGAACCTTGGAAACAGTATGCTAAATGAAAGAAGCCAGGTACAGAAGGTCACTTATATGAAATGTCCAGAATAGGCAAACTTGTAGTGACAAAGTAGATCAGTGGTTTTTTAGAGTTGCGAAAAGGCAGGGAAAAAGAATTGGATGGAAATAGCTAATGAGTAGTGATAGTGTCTTAAAATTGGTGTGGTGATGATTGCAGAACTCTGTAAACATACCAAAAACACTGAATTGTACACTTTACATTGGTGAGTTGTATGGAATGGGAGTAATATCTCAACAAAGCTGTTTTTAAAAAAGTATGTATTCCTTACAGAAAATTGAAAAAATGCAAGAATGTATTGGGGAGGTGGGTAAAAATAACCAATAAATTCACAACTTAGAAGAAATGGCCATTGTATACATTTTGGTTTATCTTCTTATAGCTGGTTTGTGTAGCCTTATACTTAATTATATGGTAAGTTATCTTTATATACTTAAACTTAGTTTTGCTCATTTTTGTTTGTTTGTTTTCTTCCCAGAGCCAAATGTTCTAGCTGGCACTTTAGTGGCTCATACAGATGCTGTCTGGGGTCTTGCTTATAGTGGTATAAAAAATCAATTACTATCATGTTCAGCAGATGGCACTGTTAGGTTATGGAAGCCACAAGAAAAATTGCCATGTATTTGCACCTACAATGGAAACAAGGGTATGTAAATTTTGTCTCTATGAAAAAAGCTAACTTTTTTTGGGGGGTGGGAGGGAGATTGAAAGGACAATTGATTTACTATTTCTTTGTTGCTCCAAGAAATTTAAAGAATTTAAAGCTTGTGGTAATCTTTTCCCTTTGTTATTTTTTATAAACGGGAAGCTTTGCAAATGTATCCTGTAGTTCAGTGTTTTGTCTTTATACCCTTTTCAGGACATGTTTTATTTAAAAAACAAAGCTATTTCTATGTAATAGTGGAATAGACAAATGAGGCTCGTAATAGGGACAACACAAGGCTCTGTGCCTGCTTCAGGTGGCTTCCCACAGAAATCGAAGGGATCACAGTGTTAAGCATACCTGCAAACCATATATGAGCACACTGGTTAAGAAATCTAGCTGTAGTCATTGAAATAGCACCCTTAACTGGGAAGTACAAACTAAGTGACATGCATGATTTCAAATCTTTTCCTGTCAAAGAAGGCTTTAACCAGTTTACCTGTGACATTTGTTTACATACATATACTGTACTTGCATTGGTCTTATTTTCTAAGTCATTTTTTAAAGTTAGTTGTAAATGTCAGACTTTTTTTTTTCTTTTATCCTCGTCCGAGGATATGTTTAGAGAGAGAGAGAGAAACACCAATCGATTGCCTCCCCTATGCATTCCAACTGGGGATCAAATCTACAATGTATGCATGTGCCCCGACCAGGAATCGAGCCCTCAACTTTTTGATGCATGAATTGGTGATGCTCCAACCAACTGAGCCACCTGGCCAGGACCAAACTTTTATTTTTATTAAAAAGTATGTTTAGTTTTAAAACATTTTTATTATTTTTGTTGTTTGTTTGCTTGTTAATCCTCTCCCTAGGATACCTCTCCCAGGGATATTCTTCCATTGATTTTTAGGGAGAGTGGAAGGGAGAGGGAGAGACAGAGAGAAACATCAATGTGAGAGAGACATTGATTGGTTGCCTCCTGCACACATCCTGACCGTGGCCAGGGAACCTGCAACTTAGGTATGTGCCCTTGACTGAAATTGAACACAGGACTCTTCAGTCCACAGGCAAACCCTCTATCCCCTGAGCCAAATCGGCTAGGGCTTAAAACATTTTAGAGGACTAATATATGCTTAATTTTGTTAGGTCTGTGTTACCCAAGTTTTTGAGGTAAAAATTCATTTAGATATTTGTTTCTAGCTTCATCTAGGTAATTAATTGCTTGATTCCAGATTTCATCTTGTGCATTGATCTGGCCAGTGAATTTATTATGTTAAAGAGAGAAATTGCTGCTCAGACCACTGTAGGGGATAGCACTGCATGAGTGGATTCCAGAGTCCACACTTTATTTTTACAGATCTGAAAATATCACAGGTGAACAGTGTCCGAAGACAGGGATGTGAGAATGCTAATTTGTCACTTTACAGTAAGATATATACACTGAGTGGCCAGATTATTATGACCACCTGACGTTTGTAGGCAAATTAGCTATAATTTCGCACTGAAGTTGCTAGAGGGCCAGGTCATTATATGTGAATAGCACAACATACCTAAGTATCGTTGCTGATCAAGTTCATCCTATCATGTTGATGGCATATCCCAATGGAGATGGCTTCTTCCAACAAGACAATGCGCCATGCCACGGTGCTCGTATTATGCAGGAGTGGTTTCAAGAACATGAGGGAGACTTTTCCTTGCTTAGGTGGCCCCCACAAGCACCAGAGCTCAATCCAATTGAGCATTTGTGGGACGAAGTTAAAAGCCATCAGGCAGCTGGTTCCACAACCATTAAATCTCACAGGACTGGACAGTGCTACTCATCAGGCATGGTGTCAGATTCCTCACATCACCTTTCAGCATCTCATGGAGTCAGTGCCAAGAAGAATCGCCACAGTATTGAAGGCAAAAGGTGGCCCAACGCAGTACTGATGGGGTGGTCATAATAATCCGGCCACTCAGTGTAATTTGCAAGTGGGCCAAAAGACTCATCAGGATTTTTTTTTCTCTTTTAAAAGAAAATGCATAGAAAGTAACTTTTGCACATATCTACTCTCACTTTAAGAACCCTCTAGCTATATTTTCCTTATGTTAAATAAATAGAATGTTTTAGAAATATTTTAAGTAACTGAAATATTTTAAGTAACTGGGAAAGCTTTGACTGGTGCGACTCAGTGGGTTAGAGTGTCGTCCAAGTGCACTGGACGGTCATGGGTTTGATTCCCAGTCAGGGCACATACCTAGTTTTCGGGTCCCTAGTTGGGGATCAAGCAGGAGACAACGAATCATTCTAACTCTCATATTGATGTCTCTCCCTCCTCTTTCTTCCCTTTCCCTCTCCCTCCTCTATTCCCTTCCTCTCACCCTACACCTCCCTCTCTCCCTCTTCTTTTCCCTCTCCCTCTCTAAAATCAATCACCCAGTCAATAATATAAAATAAAATAATTGAGGGAAAGTTACTTATTATATAGCTCACCATCCTAACAATTGCTTTTTTTTTATTATTAACATTAACTCAAGAATATTTGAATTTCCTTTATAATCAGAAGAGCAGAGATTTCTAAATTATGTGTTTACACTGTATCTCTTTGGGCTCCTTTCAGAGCATGGAATACCTACATCGGTTGACTTTATAGGCTGTGATCCAGCTCATATGGTGACCTCTTTCAACACTGGTAGTACAGTAATTTATGATTTAGAAACATCACAGTCATTGGTGATGCTTTCATCACAGATAGATTCTGGTAAGTTTTCATGGGTTCCTTTGAAACTTTAAAAAGGATTACTACACAATAGAGGGTGGTTTTTAATTTTCACATTTTAACTATTTAGATTTAGGATAAAAAAAATAGTTTCATTGTGTTATAGTTTAACTTATTTACATTATTTCTACTTCCTGAAATTGTGCTTAAAAATAAGCTGGGTGGGTATATGAGGACAGAAGAGGGAATAAAGCAATGTAAAGGTGAAAGCAAATTAATTAATTTTAAATTTTTAATGGAAATACATATGGAAGTAGAGAAAATAATATAATGAGCCTGATGAACTCATCATGTAGCCCCAATAATTATGCATAAATGGTCAATGTAGTAAGTATAGGATATGATGTGTATTTTATAATTTATTTAAGTAGGAATCCAAATAATACTCTGCATTGTGATTGGCTGATAAGTTTTTCAGGTCTCTTTTCATCTGTGGGTTCCCCCTCCATCTCTTATTTTGTTTATATTTTTTCATGTTTATTTGATTTTAATTACAGTTTATAGTTAATATTATTTTGTGTTAGTTTCAGGTGTACAGTATAGTGGTTAGATAATCATGTACTTTACAGAGTGGTCCCCCTGATACCAAGTACCCACCTGGCACCATACACGGTTATTATAATTTTTTTCTTTATTGATTAAGGTATTCATATGTGTCCTTTCCCCCCATTGCCCCATATCCCCCCACTCATGCCCTCACCCGCCTGTTGTCTGTGTCCATTGGTTAGCTTATAAGCAAGCATACAAGTCCTTTGGTTGATCTCTCCCACTTACCCCCACCCTCCCCTACTTTCCCTCTGAGGTTTGACAGTCTGATCGCTGCTTCTCTGTCTCTGCATCTTAGAAACCTCTTCTTTGTGAAAGCTAGGTGATTTTTTCCCACTTGGACTGGCTTGTAATCTTAGTGATTAACATCTAGATTTTTACAAGTGATCAGTGAACACAATCTGTCCTCTCCAGGGAGTGAGCTGAACATAAAGACCAAGTGTCAGGATTCAGC